TATGTTATCCAAACAGATAGTAAGAAATATCCAGTGACCAAATTCATCCATTTTATTTGATAATATCTGACCTTTAAAGTTCTTAAGAAGAATAGCGACCCCTGCTGATCTTGAAGAACCATTACAGAAATAAACTTCATCTCCCCATTGTTTAGACCAAAAGACATTATCTTCCTGTTTAGAATGAGTTTCTTGTAAGAAAATTGAATTTGCATTTTGCCCTTTACAAAATAAAAATAAACTTTTCCTTTTAGTTAGATCTCTTAGGCCCCTTGCATTTATAGAAATGAACGAAATTTCACTTTTCAAGTTAAACATAAAAAAATCAACGACACAAGATAAAGTGTAGAACAGAATCGAGTGGGTTTACCTTAAAAGGATTGAACTATAAGTAGCAAAACTCCTGAACATAGAAAAATTATCTGAAGCCAGACATGTTATGTAGAACTATTGTGATCTTAAGGAACAACTCGTTGTCCATCCATAAAGGCATATGGACCTTTGAAAATCGCCTTTTTCCCAGCTCTCCGTGCTTGTTCCACTTTAGGCCATACTGCCAATCTTGCCTCCCGGTCTTCTTTGCTAAGGTCCTCCGAGAACCTGATGTTGAGCTCTCTGCAGATGGGGTGCTGTTTAGTGGATCTCCAGAGTTCATCCCTGAAGATTCGACCTGTAAACTGGACAATAATCTGCCGTGGGCGGTTGGTGTTGGTCGGGCCGAGGCGGTGTACCGTGTCGAGAATAAAGTCCATCTTCTCTTTCCAGTGAGGCATGATCTGCTTAACAACATTCGCAACTTTCTGTCTTGTGTCTTCCTCCTTTTCCTCTTTTAATCCGTTAATGCGTAGATTCCAGCTTCGTTTGTAACGCTCTGATTCTGCCGCTTTTCTTTCAATCTCCTGAACCTTCTTTGTCAGCTCGGCATTTATAGTTTTAAGCTGTGTAATCTCAACTTCCTGTTTTACGATTGTATCTTTGCAGTCCTGAATTTCGGCGTTGTTAAACTCCACTGCTTTAGCAATATCTGCAATGGAGAGCGTGTTTCGTTTCATTTCTTCTCCAAAGTTTAGCATCATTTTCTGTAGATTCTCAACTGCTTCCAAAATTTTGGTATTGGATGCGCCTGAACTGATCTCCTCGTCCCCTTTTGTTTTCTTCTGCGGTACAGGAGGTTTGCATGGCGATGTTAAGGCGTTTTTAGTTCCTTTAGCATCAGTATCCATACAGTAGTCATGAGTAATCAAGGCCTTCTTAGCTTTGCTGTTAGCCATTATCCACGTTGTTTTCCTTTTAGCTTAGAGTTGTTTTCCCGTTATCAATGGATGTTTCAATTCAGTATTATCATTTTTAACTTACAAATATGGTCCTTTTGGTGTCTCTTCTGGACTTCCAAGATGTTTAATCATTTATTTTGGGAGTTCGCTACCCAGAGCTCATCACAGCGCGTCCGCTCTTTCCGCCATCTTTTTCGCCCGCCCACTGCAGTTGAGTAAACAGCAGAAGTTTCCTCTGAACGCTGCAGGCAGACATGCAGAGACACACTCAACAAGGCCAGCATGGAGGAAGATAGCTTTCTGTAATTATTTCCTGGTGCTGAGGTCGACATGGAAAATGTTCCCCACATGAACAGAAGCAATCAGTTTCCTCCTCAAGGTGTCGGATACACTTATTACGACGCGCCGAGGATGATTTGAAATGCATTATCCCTCTCCCACTCAGTCTGCATTTATTTAATAATTTCCCCCAATAAATGCATGAATATCATTAAAAATGTCACAGTTTGTGAAGGAATGCAGGGATCCCAGAACCGCCTGGACGCAGACACTTTCAGAATCCGCTGCTGGCACAAAGAGGAGCCGACTGACTGGAGGCAAGGCACCAATAATACAGGAAGTGCTATTAATGATGAAAAGGCATTTGGCTCTTCTGAGATCGTTTCTTGATCCGGGTCGTTCCTTGAACTCTGGCTGCTGGTTCACTGTGAGGAAGACGAGGAGAGGATGATCAGCGGACAGAGGAAGATTCCAGTGACGCTTTGGAAGACGAAGAGGAAGGAGCTCACAGTCTGGAAGCTGTAAGAGGAGAGAAACCAAGAGAGTAACTGGTTCGTCACGAGATGAAGCAAAAACTCAAGTTTGGTGAAGAAGTTTGTAACTTCTTCACAGACGGCAGGAAGTTGCCGACAGGCTGGTGATGCATAAACTGGGCTCTAGAGGGCGCATGCTCTATATGAACTTCTACAAGTCTGACTGGATATTTTCCTCCTTATGGTCCGGTTGACCCAGTTCTACTGGAATCAGATCTCGACCTCCAGCTGCTGTGGTTCTGTTCCCCTCCTGGCCTGTGGGGGCGCTGCACCAAGAACCACTGAAGGAAACGACACTAAACCTCTGAAGACACCTAGAGCAACTTCCTGTTTCACCAGATGGAACAAGATCAGAGTTTAGTGATTTCTCTTTAGTGTTTGGCTGAAGACCAGGAGCCATTTCTGCTGCTAGCGCTAAGCTAACATGTTAGCTTTGGCTGGATTTACCCAGAATGGCCCATGCCACTGAGGTCTGGTACATGTGCAGCCATTACTGCTGCTTTATAATTATTATGTCTCCATGTTGTTGACATTGTTTTCATCTTTGGTGAAAAGTTATTGCTGACATGGAGTTTTTCTTCTGTCTCTCTTCGGTTTGTCCTGTTTGCTTCTGCATGTTTCTCTTCATTTCAACGTAAACTGATGTAAAACACATCGACATCTTGTTACGGCCCAAGGCTATTCCTTTGGGTTTAGCACCCTTGCTCCAGATATCCTCATTGGTGCTGATTGGAAGTGGAGGCAGCTGGCCAGTGTCTCCATGAATGACATCAGATCAGCATAAAATGCACCACCTTTTTCTCATCAGCCCAGCCCTTTTCTTTCTGTCTGTCCACTTCTCCTCTTTTTTCCCTTTCCTCTCCAACCAGCTATAATTTTTGTTAAATAAATCCTATTTTAAGTTATCCCATGCGTTGCTTCCTTTAATTTGTTATGGTATTAGAGCCAGACCATAACAAATTGGGGGCTCATCCAAATTTATGTTATAGTTTGGCATGACAGTTTTCTTTTTTGTTAGTAAGTTTTGTTTATTAATTTAATTGGGAAGTTAGTGTGGGAATCTTGTGTTTAGTCTGAGAGAAATCTTTTTTTTTCTCTTCTTTTTCTGGTTTGGGGTAAGTGGTTTGCTTTCATTTCATCTGACGACTAATGGTAAGTGTGATTGTTGACTGGTTTGTGCAATTAGGTATGACTGATCTGAACTGATTCTCCTTTAGGCCTCAGCGTGTCTCCCCTTTGGGAGTCATGTGCTCAAAAAACAGTAGTGTGAGATCATATGGTTAGAGCAATTGTCTCGGGGGCACAGCCGTAGTGTTGAGAAGGTTGCCAGCTTTCTGGTCGCTTTTTTCACTCTACTGGTATTTAGTGCATAAGTACCCACCGTCCCTGATCTCTGAAGACTAGGGTTGAGCTAGTTAGTGTCTGATAGGCAGTTAGAGGGGAGGTTCAGGTTGGTTGTTTTGTGTTGCACAGATTGTCAGCAATTTACTTTAAATTTTGAAAAACTGTTTTCTGATTAAGAACTTAATTATGTCTGTTGAAGATTTTAATAAAAATCCATCAGCAGGATTTCTGGATTTGTGTTCAAGAGAACAATTAGTAAAAATTGCTGAGCACTATAAAATAAGTGTTGGTGATAAACGGTTGAAAGAGAATGTTAAAGCAATTTTAAGAGAAAACTTAATTGAAATGGGTGTTTTGTCTTTTTCTTCAATGCCTGAAGATTTGGATTCAGAGGTTGTAAAGCCTAAACTTTTGGATTTTGAACAACAAAAAGAGATGTTAAGATTAAGAATGCAACTGGAGAAGGAAAAGGAGTTGGCTTTGGAGAATTTACGACAGCAAGCAGATTTGGATAAGGTTCTTGCTTTGGAAAAACTAAGACAGGAAACTGAATTGGCAAAAATGAATTTGGAAAGTGAGAAATTACATCTGATGAAAGAAGGCAAATTGTCTGTGGAATCTTGTGTTATAGACTCAAAATGTAAGGCCTCTGACATTTTAAGTGACTTGCGTTTGGTGCCTAAGTTTAGTGAAAAAGATGTTGAAACTTTTTTCACTTTGTTTGAAAGAGTTGCAGAGACAAGAGACTGGTCTGATTCAGACCGCATAGTTTTGCTTCAGTGTGTTTTGGTTGGTCGTGCTCAGGAAGCTTTTGCTATGTTGAGCTTAAATGATGGCCAGAATTATGCCAAGGTTAAAGCTGCAATACTGAAAGTGTATGAATTGGTCCCTGAAGCATACAGGCAGAAGTTTAGAAACTGGAAAAAAGGTGACAAAACTTATGGAGAGTTTGCAAGGGATCTGGAGATTCATTTCAATCGTTGGTGCACTTCCTCTGAGGTTAAAACACTTGGTGACCTCTGTAATTTAATGGTTCTTGAACAATTTAAGAACTCTGTTTCTCAAGGCATTGCAATGTACATTAATCAACAGAAGGTAAAAACTGTATCAGAAGCTGCAGTGTTGGCAGATGATTTTGTCTTGACACATAAAGATACTGGTGGAGAACACACAGATGGGATGAGTGCTCCAAACTGGCGTTCAACACGTTCTGGAGGGTTTTTTTCAGACCGCAGTATCCGTGAGCCGGACAAAATTTGTAATTATTGTCACAGAAAGGGTCATTGGAAGAAAGACTGTGCTTTGTTGAAATCTAGACATAAAAATGGAAATCAGGTTAAACCAGCAGCACTTGCTGCATCAGTTTTAAATGTTTCTAACAAAATGACTGAAGTGCCATTTGCCGGAAAACCTGATTTGAGTTCTTATAAACCATTTCTTATGGAAGGAGAAGTTTCTTTAATTGGAAGTGACGTCAGGGTACCAGTTACCATTTTGAGAGATACTGGTGCATATGATTCATTCATTCTGGCATCAGTGTTGTCTTTTTCAGATGAGTCTGACACTGGATTATCAATACCTGTGTTGGGTATGGGCATGTCTGTGTTTTGTGTTCCAGTACATAAGCTTATGCTTCATTCGAAGTTGTTTGAAGGAGAAGTAAGGATGGGTGTCAGACCTGCGCTACCTGTGGTTGGTGTCACAGTTATATTGGGGAACCATATAGCTGGAGGGAAAGTCTGGCCTGATAAACCAGAATCTCCAGTTATTGTTTCAGTACCTTTGGTCAGCAGTGGTCCTGACGAAAATGAAAAATCACACCCAGAAGTTTTCCAAGCATGTGCTGTGACACGAGCAATGAAAGCATCCAGTGATGATCATCAGGATGAAAACTTTGGAAAAGATACACAGACATCCTCTTTTTGTTGGTCTAATATTCCTTTGTCTATTTCACAGAGTGATTTGGGACAGGAGCAAAGATCTGACCCCACAATACAGCATTTGTTTCAGTCTGCATTACCTGCTGAGGAGATGCAGAACCATGCTCATGGCTACTTTGTTGAGAACGAGGTACTGTTAAGGAAGTGGATGCCATGTGGTGACGATGTTATTGGGCAGCCAGTTTATCAGGTTGTGGTGCCTTTGAAATTGCGTGACTTGGTTTTGCAGGTATCCCATGATAAGTCCGGACACATGGGAGTTAGAAAAACCTATGACCGCATTTTGAGAAGTTTTTTTTGGCCGCGGCTGAAAAAAGATATTGCTTCATATATTAAAACTTGTCACACCTGTCAGTTGACTGGTAAACCCAATCAAGTCATAAACCGGGCACCACTGTATCCTATTCCGACTATTGGTAAACCATTTGAGCACTTAATAATTGATTGTGTGGGTCCTCTTCCACCTTCACGTTTGGGTGCTAAGTATCTTTTGACAGTTATGTGCCAAAGTACCAGGTATCCAGCAGCCTATCCATTGCACACACTTACTGCAAAGTCTGTGGTGCGAGCGCTTGGGCAATTTATTGGTATTTTTGGAATACCTAAAGTCATTCAGAGTGACCAAGGATCTAATTTCTCCTCTCATTTGTTTGCACAGGTTTTGAAGCAGCTACACATTCAGCATAATCAATCTACAGCATATCACGCACAGAGCCAAGGAGCACTGGAGCGCTTTCATCAGACATTAAAATCTTTACTCCGTGCTTACTGTGTTCAGATGAAGGCTGATTGGGAGGATGGTCTGCCTTGGTTATTACTTGCAGCAAGAGAAGTAACGCAAGAAAGTACGGGCTTTAGCCCTAATGAATTAGTATTTGGTCATACTGTGCGTGGTCCATTAACAGTTTTGCGAGATGAGTGGAAAGATGCTGAACCACCACAAAACTTGTTGCATTATGTTAATGGGTTTAAGCAGAGACTCTTTACTGCAACGCAGATGGCAAATAAGAACCTATCATCTGCACAGGAAAAAATGAAGTGCTTGTATGATAAGAAAGCTGAACATCGTGTTTTTCTTTCAGGTGATCAAGTTCTGGCTTTACTTCCTGTTGTGACTTCACCATTTCAGGCCAAGTTTTCTGGCCCACACACAGTTTTGAAACGGCTTTCCGACCAAAACTATCTCATTGCAACTCCAGAAAGACGGAAGAAACAGCAGACGGTTCATGTAAACCTCTTAAAACCATACCATGTTCGTGGTAAGACTGTATTGGTGGATGATATTCACCCTGTGTGCATCAGTGAAACGCTGACATCTGCTGGAGGTGAATGGAATGGCGATGGGTTGCCTGTTCCAGATTCAGCCATGCTAACTGGTCGACTTATAAATTCTGAAGTACTGAAGAACTTGGACACGATGCTGAATTATTTACCAGAGACTCAATGCTTTGAGTTGATTCGGTTGATAAAATCTTACTCTGATTTATTTGCAGATATTCCATCCTGCACACAATTGATTGAACATGATATTGAGGTGGGTGATGCACAACCTATAAAACAGCGGTTTTACAGGGTTAGCCCTGAGAAACGCAAATATCTTGATGCTGAGATTGACTACATGTTAAAAAACGGGATCGCTCAAGCATCATGTTCAAGCTGGTCTTCACCTTGCTTGCTAGTTCCAAAATCAGACAAAACATACAGGTTTTGTTCTGATTTCAGAAAAGTCAATAGCATAACCAAAACTGATTCATACCCGCTACCTCGTATGGATGACTGTATTGACCAGATTGGTAATGCTAAGTTCATTACTAAAATAGACCTGTTAAAAGGTTATTGGCAAGTCCCTTTAACAAAAAGGGCACAGGAAATCGCTGCCTTTATTACACCTACTGGTTTGTACTCGTACAATGTTATGCCTTTTGGTTTGAAGAATGCGCCGGCAACTTTTCAGCGCTTGATGAATAAAGTTGTTGGAGGTTTAGAAGGTTGTTCTGTGTATTTGGATGACATTGTTGTCTATTCTCATAGTTGGTCTTCTCACCTGGAACAACTCACAACTTTGTTTGACCGTTTGGTGGAGGCACGTCTCACAGTGAATCTAGCCAAATGTGAGTTTGCTCGAGCAACTGTCATTTATCTTGGTCATCAAGTGGGTCAAGGTAAAGTATGTCCAGTTAAAGCAAAAGTAGAAGCGATTGAAAACTATCCACCACCAACTACTAAAAGGAACTCATGAAATTCCTGGGTTTAGTTGGGTATTATAGAGCCTTCTGCAGAAACTTTTCAAAGGTGGTTGCACCTCTGACAGATCTTTTGAAAAGTAATGTGAAATACAGCTGGTCCTCTGTCTGTCAGCAGGCTTTTGAAGATGTGAAGAGGATGCTATGTGATTCTCCTGTTTTGTTGGCTCCAGATATGAATAAGCCTTTTAAACTACAGGTTGATGCCAGTCATGTTGGTGCAGGGGGAGTCCTTTTGCAAATGGATGACTTTTTGATTGAGAGACCTGTGAGTTTCTTCTCTAGGAAGTTTAATAGACATCAACTGAATTATTCAGTCATAGAAAAAGAGACCCTTGCTCTTATTTGGTCATTACAACATTTTGAGGTTTATGTGGGCTCAGGTCCTTTAACTGTCTTTACAGATCACAATCCTCTGACCTTTTTGAACTCTTTTCGATGCCCAAATCAGAGACTTGTGAGATGGTCGTTGTTTCTGCAGTCATTTTCTTTAGATATTCGTCATATCAAGGGAAAGGATAATGTCATCGCAGATGCTTTGTCAAGAGCGCAAAGTCAGTAACTTTTTTTTCCCCTTTTACCTGTCTGAGTCACTTCATGGTACCAGTTGTCGACTTGGACATGGGATATAAAAGGATCTGGATTTTGTTTTCTGTTTCATCTCAGCTTGTCTGAGATATCGTGAGTGTATTTAAACTTGTTTTTCTATTTTTTTTCAGATGTTGATACATAGGTTGCCCAGGGTTCCGGTGGGGACCCTGTTTTGAAGAGGGGGGGTGTTACGGCCCAAGGCTATTCCTTTGGGGTTTAGCACCCTTGCTCCAGATATCCTCATTGGTGCTGATTGGAAGTGGAGGCAGCTGGCCAGTGTCTCCATGAATGACATCAGATCAGCATAAAATGCACCACCTTTTTCTCATCAGCCCAGCCATTTTCTTTCTGTCTGTCCACTTCTCCTCTTTTTTCCCTTTCCTCTCCAACCAGCTATAATTTTTGTTAAATAAATCCTATTTTAAGTTATCCCATGCGTTGCTTCCTTTAATTTGTTATGGTATTAGAGCCAGACCATAACAATCTGAATCTGCTCCAGATTCTTCTTTCTCTTCTCACAGTCATCTGAAGTCATCTCGATGGTTTTCAGGCAGCCAACAATTGCCTCTAATAAGCTAAAGTACGTCTCTTATGGACGTTGGTCCACATGGGAGGGCGAGCTCACAAAGGTGTAGTGTTTTTATTTTTACAGCAAAATATGTGCAAATGTGTTTTTGTGTTTTATTTCTGGTTGACTCGCTGTGATTGGACCAACCAGAGAGCTTCCTTCCTGTTAGCTTTCGGTTGTTGAGCCTGCAGGGTTGAAACTTGATGCCAACTGTATCCCAACCCAGAAATTGATAGACTGACAGCAGTGAGAAAGACGCTCAGGGACCCTTAAGAAAACCCAATTCCCAGGCCTATTTTTTTAAGAGCAGTCGTTTTTCAATTTGGCGTTTAGTTTTAGCAGCAGAGCAGGTGTGTGTCTGAGCAAACGCTTTGCCTGCTTTATTGAGTCTTGCTTTTCCTCCTGCATGGACTGCACTGATAAGAGCGAGGAAATACTCCCTTCTCTCCGGGTCTGCTTGTTATTCCGGCCGTCGCCGGGATCCTGCCCCTCTCACGCTGCCGTGATGAAATCCCATTTTGCCTGACTGACCCTCGTCTGTTTCTGAACGTTTATCACAAACAGTTTTACAAATGGTGGCGCCGTCGCCTCGACCCGCTGCTGTGCCATTCTTACATTTGCATTGTTATCCGCAGCGCTCCATTCTTGTAAGGCGTCTGTAATTATTTTCTATGATCTCATTGTAAGCTCCTACTGGCAGCTGAATGTCAGCGTGATGAAAAGCAAATGTTACTTTAACTCAACTTGTTAAACGTTTTGCTGTACAGATCAGATCTGAGGTTTCCTCTCCAATAACTGCAGAGTCATGAAATTAATTAGGGGACAAATCGTGAGAAATATGATTGATGTAACTGAAAATCCTCCAGAATCTGTTCATCAGGGATATTTGTGTCTTTCTGGCTCCAAATCCCAAACCGACCTCCAGAGGTCACGTCTGCTGTTGTTCCTCTCCACAGTCGCCACATGCTTCCCCAACTCAATCTGCTGTTCATTCCCAGACAGAAACGGTTTGATGAACTGAACCGAATGGATCTGGTCAGTTGGTGGCGCTGCTGCCTTACAGCAAGAAGGTTCTGGGTTTGAATCCCAGCCTGGTGTCTTTCTGCAGGGACTCTCGAAAACCGTCACTGTTGGGTTAATTAGTCTCTACTTTCTGATTAGGCGTGTGTGTGTGTGTGTGTGTCTGTGTTGTCTTGTCTCCATGGTGATTAAGTGGGACGGATGGATTTGTGTCTGAGAAAATGAGAAAACTTCAATAAACATGTTTTGGGTGAAGAGACGTTTTGCTGCTGCAGTCGGCAGGAATGAAGGTTTTATGAGGGAAAATTAGATGATCTGCTCTGGTTCTGTTCAGGTCGGCTCGGCCCGGCAGGAACAAACAGAGCCAGGTGACCTTTCACCTTTCTGGAAACACTTATTCCTTTTCTCCAGCAAGACTCTTGGCTTATTTGCTTCATATTTCTGTAACTCCAGACATTTTCTGTTTCCTACTTACCTGGATGCAGATTTTCATAAACATGTTTATCTTATGATTGTGAAGTTTTCTTTCAAATTTGTTGTTTGTTCACATATTTTCAGTTTTGTCTCGTCTGACAGCAGAAAGATTTGCAGAAATGTACATGTCAGAGTCGAGTGTGGATGAATTTTAGGATTTTATGAGTGAAGAAAAACAAATGTTTATTCTGAAGAAACACATGCAGAGGAAAGAGTGACATTATATTGAAATTCATTCAAGGCATTAGAAGAACATTTTACATCTTAAAAGTCAGGAAAGAAACTTTAGATCAAAAAAGGTTCTGCTTTTTCTGGATCTGAGCAGAACATGAAAGAACAAAATCCAAACAGAAAAATGACCAACAGGTCAATGCTGCAGGTGAAGCAAATTAGGTAATAAATCTATGAAGAAATTTTATAAATCTAATATTTAGCTCCAAGTTATATGTTTAGATTATGAACTAAATATTTGGATCAAACTTGTTTGCTAAATTTGTTAAAAAATAATTCTGAGCTAAATATTGAGTCTCTATCTCAATGTTTAGCTCAGACATAAATATTTAGTTTGCATGTATTGGTGTATGAATAATTATAATGTAAAAATATCGCTAATCTTTTTCTCTCCATGTTAAATGGTTTACAGTGAGAATCGTTCAAGTAAAACCCAAAGAACATTAACAGATTTGACACAGAAACGTTCCTGTTCAGTTTTCTTTCCTCTTTATTTATTTTTATGCAGGACAGAAAATGTTTAATCAAAGCACCGTGAAGCGGGCCGAGCCAACGGGCCGGGCCGGGCCGATCCGATCCGAGCCGATCCGATCCGAGCCGATCCGATCCGAGCCGACGAGCCGATCCGAGCCGATCCGATCCGAGCCGATCCGAGCCGATCCGAGCCGACGGGCCGGGCCGATCCGATCCGAGCCGATCCGAGCCGACGGGCCGAGCCGATCCGATCCGAGCCGATCCGAGCCGACGGGCCGATCCGAGCCGACGGGCCGAGCCGAGCCGAGCCGATCCGATCCGAGCCGATCCGAGCTGACGGGCCGATCCGATCCGAGCCGATCCGAGCCGACGGGCCGATCCGAGCCGACGGGCCGATCCGAGCCGACGGGCCGATCCGAGCCGACGGGCCGAGCCGAGCCGAGCCGATCCGATCCGAGCCGAGCCGACGGGCCGATCCGATCCGAGCCGATCCGATCCGAGCCGATCCGAGCCGACGGGCCGAGCCGAGCCGAGCCGAGCCGATCCGAGCCGACGGTAACCAACAGGCTGCAGTTTGAGCTGCTTAATGCTGTCAAAGCAGAAAAGAGTTCGGCGCGCAGGGCGGATAATTACAGAAAACCAGCAGAGGGTCTTTATTTGGTCAGCGGGAGAAATAATTGATTTAAGAAGAGGAGGAGGTTTTTCTTCTGATGCAGCAGAGGACAGCCAAGGTCTCCCACTGTGGGCTCGGCCTCCAGGAGAACTTCAGCCGGCTCGGATGGAGAGCTGAGAGCCTGAGAAATGTAATTAATTGGATCAGATTAAAATTAATGAAGTAATTAAGAAGCTGCTTGGCCCAGTTCCTCCAGTCTGGAAGAGTTAAAGGCAGCAGGAGTCACAGCGGGGGACGACGGAGTACCGGGGGCTGAAACTGAGTGACTGGGTTCAGCAGAGAGGAACGGCAGGTTCTGGAGGGTTCTGACCAGACCAACCAATCGGCACCACGCCGGCTCTGCAGCTGGAGGAACATGAATGGATCAGATCCATCCCCAGCAGGTGACGACTGACCACAGACACACGTCTGTCCTGAGTGGAAATAAAGTTATTTTTCTGTTCTCCAGAGTGAAGCTCTCTGCATGCAGCTCAGACTGAAGCAGGCGGTAATTGTGTTGTCTGGTTCTGACCCGCCTGCTGTCTGCGTGTCCTGGGAGCAGCAGGACTGATTGACGTTTCTGTGCTGACTCATTACTCTGAGTGACGACAGCAGGGACAAGGGACGAAAATAGAAAAACACAGGAAGTCATGTTGACGAGTCTCAGCTCAGAGACAGGAATCCTCTTTGAACTGGATTCTGGGAAATATTAATACATGTGCGGTTATAGAGATAGAATTAAAAGATGTCACCAAACAGAACCAAGCAAGAAAGACACATTTAGGCAGACACACAAACACTCTCTCAACATTTGATC